GCACAGCAAACACACAAAAAAACGCGCAAACACACACACACACAAACACACAACCACACAAACACACACACACACGCACACACACACACACATTCATACGAATACGCCCACGCACGCACGCAAACGCACGCACACAACAAAGGGACCGACTTACACTATGTTTTTCTTCCGTCTCGTATTCGTTATCCCTCGCTTGGTTTTCAGCTCAAACTTGTTGCAACACGAAGTCGGAACAAAAACGGCCCACGAAGTCGTTTAAACACAATTTAGGTCGACGCCTACACACGCACGCTTGTTCCTCCAGCGGTGAGGTGACGGCTCCGTCGCGGCTTCTACGGCGGGGCACACTTGCTTCAATGACCACCTGGTGTTGCAGATGGGGAGCCTGTATGGGGGCGGACGCATCTAGCAAAACGAGAGATCGCGCATGCACGTCACACGCGCGCAGTTTTTTAGTCGGCTGCGTCGAAGAGCCTCAGACGGGGCCGGCAGGTGGAAGAGCCAATTGCGAACGAAGTTGGTCGTACTGGCCATGATGAAATTATTCAACCACGGCCATGCAAATTGGCAGTGGGAAGTGACGCGCTGCAAAGCCAATCTGTAACGGCCAACGAACCCGCAAAGCGGAAGCTCGACGCAAGGAGTTGAAGCGCAAAGAGCAGCGTTGTGCGAATTAGCCAGAGAGGCGACGACAAAAACTGTAGGGCAGTCGGACCAACCAGCTTGGCGGTGACCAAGGCGCGCACTTGCGCGACAAGGCGACCCCACCACACACGCACACGCACACACACACACACGCGCGCATTTTTGGCGGTAGCAGCCTCGCGCGCGGACTAAACGCGGCGGAGTAAGTAGCATATGTAAGCTCGCGGAAACGTCTGGGCCCTCAAACGCCGCTTAGGATTCAAAGCGCCTACCGAAGCACACACGCACACACGCCCCTGCCCAACACACACACACACACACACACACACCCGCGCACGCACGCACGCACGCACGCACGCACGCACGCACGCACGCACGCACGCACGCACGCACGCACGCACGCACGCACGCACGCACGCACGCACGCACGCACGCACGCACGCACGCACGCACGCACGCACGCACGCACGCACGCACGCACGCACGCACGCACGCACGCACGCACGCACGCCGCCGCCGCCGCACGCGCACGCGCGCACGCGCACGCGCACGCGCACGCGCACGCGCACGCGCACGCGCACGCGCACGGCACGCGCACGCACGCACGCACGCACACGCGCCACACACGCACACGCACACACACGCCGCACACGCACGCACACGCAACGCACCACACCACACGCACCCACACCACGCACCCACGCACCCAACGCACCCCACCCCACTCCACCCCACCCACCCCACCCACCCACCACACCCAACACCACCCCACCCCACCACCCACACCCACACCCCACCCACCCCACCACCCCACCCCACACCCACCCCACCCCACCCACCCCACCCACCCCCACACCCCACCCACCCCACCCCCCCACACCCCCACACACCCCCACACCCCCCACACACCACACACCCCACACACACACCCCCACACACCCCACACCCACACAAACCCACACACCCCCCACACCCCCACACCCCACACACCCCACACACCCACTACACACCACCACACCCACACACACCCCACCACACCCCACACACCCCACACACCCCACACACCCAACACACCCCACACACCCACACACACCCCACAACCACACACACACCCCACACACCCCCACACACCCCACACACACACCCCCCCCCCCCCCACACACACACACACACACAACACACACAACACACACAACACACACACAACACAAAACACACACACACAACACACACACAACACACACAACACACAACACACACAACACAAACAGCACACACAACACACACAACACACACAACACACAACACACACACAACACACACACAACACACAACACACACAACACAACCCACACACACAACACACACAACACACACAACACACACACACACACACATACGCGCACACACAAGGGACCTGGAGAAAAAACCGACACCGCTTCTCCCTGTACCACTCCCGGGCTGCGTTCTGACCAGAATTTCGATGCGAATGCAGCTGTGGCGACGAGGGCCACCCAGCAGGCCCAAAAAGGAGAAACGAGGGGGAAGGGCAGCGTTGTGGGTACCTGTTCCTCCTCCGACGCTCCCACGCACACGCGCATAACGCTCACACCCGAAAGCCTCTCGAGCCTCCGGCGGTCTGGGCCGCACTAAATCTTAGGTCGGGCCTGTCCCCCTACAGGGGGATTTTGGACGACAAATAAAACATAGTCAACAAATACATAAAGAATGCTCAAAAATAAACAAACAATCGTCCCCGTACTATTTTTGACCATTTTTGACTATTCCTCCTGTAGAGGGACAGACCCGGCTTAAACCAAGTAGCCGCTGGCGGAAGCGTTGCGGGGCAAGCTGCCTACCGCCGGCCGCCGCCGCCGCGCAGCGGCGCGCCGCCGCGTGCGCCTGCGCCTGGACGGGGAGGCCTCCACGACGACGACGACGACGAGCGACGACGAGCGACGACGTGACGACGACGAATACAACGACGACGACGACGACGACGGAAGGGGGTGATTCGAAGGGATCTCTGCTCCATCGTAGCGTTTTACCGTTCCTCGCTGGGTCGTGCCAAAGTCCCTGGCCGCGCTTCGTGCTCGTGGTGCTCGGCATGGTCTCCTTCGAGTTCCTGACTGGCTAGGGGTCTGTGGCTGCTGATGTCTCACAAATCCGTCCTCCTCCTCCACGCGCCGCCATCCCCGCCCGTCATCAGCAATCCTCTCCTGTCCTCCGCCATCATCCTCCGCCAATCCAACCGTCCCTCTCTTCCTCCTCCTCCTCCTCCTCCTCTTCTTCCTCCTCCCTCGATCTACTCCGTCTGGCTCTTCGTCATCCATCTTCAACCCACCGCCATCATCTGACCCTCTGGCCTCCTCCTCCCTCCTCCATCATCCTTCTCGATCCTCACGAACGTACGTAGCCCCGTCCTGCTTTTCAAAATCACGCATGCCGTGGAATTCACGGCATATCGGATCTGCGGGGGCGAGTACCTCTTGCTGGGCCTGATGCTCATCCGCCGTCGTCAGTGGTAACACTCGATCACGCACCCTGGTCTGGGAGGAGGGACGAGGATGGAGCAGGGACGGGGGACGAACAACGGGAGCACCAGCAGGGGGAAGCCTACAATTCGATGAGAAAAGAGTGGAGAGCAAGGGGATTCTGCTGCACCTTCGTTGGACCTTGTCCGTTCCATCGCTCCGCCATCCACGTCGAATCCGCGTCGAATCTGTGTCAACCACGCCGAATCCACGTCGAATCCGCGTCGAATCGACACCGAATCTACGTCGAATCCGTCACGAATCCATGTCGAACGCGCCAAATCCATAGCGAGTCGAGCCCGCGTCGAGTCCACGCCGAATCCACGTCGAATCCACGCTGAGCCCGCGGTGGGCGCAAGAGAAGACAACCACTTGCAGGGCAGGCACTGCCCCCCCGAAGATGCAGCGCAGAGGGGAAGAGCAGCCGCACCACCGACAGGAGGAGCACAGAGGGGGGCAAGTGGAAACCGACCATATTGAAGGGGCCCCAGGACACACAAATAAATACACACAAATAAAAGGATTCCCCATATTTTCAAATATTTTCGGGGTTTTTGTCTTCCCCACCACTTCCCATATTTTCCCATATTTTCTGGATAATCGAGGATTAATTGTGTCTGTGTGTTTCTTTTCCTCCTGAATAGAGGGGGGCAAGTGGAAACCGACCATATGGAGCCAGAGCCGATGGGCCCGAGGAATCCCAGAACTGGGCACCTTTCGCGAGCATCTCAGACGCGGGCTGACGCAAGAGGGGGGAGTCGCAAACTATGGCCCGAGGCATGAGTGCGGACGAGGGGGGGGCCAATGAACGAATCGAAATGGCAGTGGATAATCCGCCGGCCCCCTTGCGGGGCCATCAGGCTGCGAGGGTTAGGCTTGCTGCTCCCTGCGCCAGTTCCAGTTTCCAGTTTCCATTGTTACAGTGCTGCTTTCTGCTTCCTACTGTAAACTGTTACTGTCCGCGCGAGGGGGGGAGCCGAAAACCACCCTGGTTAGCGTCCCCCGGGAGGGTGCTCAGAATTCCTGGGGGGGTCAAAATTTACACCCCTCACGCAGATCGGCGGGGTCAGGGTCCAAAAACACAAAGGATTTGCTACATTTATAGATTCGGTGGCACCCCGCACTCAGATCGGAGGGATCAGCGTCCAAAAACACTGGGGATTGCCACATTTCTGAAATTCGGTGGCACCCCTCATGCAGATCGGCGGGGTCAGGGGCCAAAAACACAAAGGATTTGCCACATTTCTGAAATTCGGTGGCACCCTTAACGCAGATCGACGGGGTCAGGGTCCAAAAACACAAGGGATTAGCCGCATTTCTAAAATTCGATGGCACCCCTAATTCAAATCGGCGGGGTCAGTCTCCAAAAACATGATGGACCCACGAACCCGGAAAGGGATATAGACATGTGGAGCATGGACACGTTTTCACGATACCCAACTGGGCAACACCTCACGAAACATCCCACGAGACACTTCACGAAACATCCCACGAGACACCTCACGAAACATTCCACGAGACACCTCACGAAACATTCCACGAGACACCCCGCGAAACATTCCACGAGACACCCCACGAAACATTCCACGACGACAGGCAACCACTCAACCAAGGCGGTGTGGTCGTGCTGGGGAGTGGTCGTGCTGGGGTGTGGTCGTGCTGGGGGGTGGTCGTGCTGGGGTGTGGTCGTGCTGGGGGGGTGGTCGTGCTGGGGGGTGGTCGTGCTGGGGCGTGGTCGTGCTGGGGCGTGGTCGTGCTGGGGCGTGGTCGTGCTGGGGTGTGGTCGTGCTGTGGTGAGGTCGTGCTGGGGTGTGGTCGTGCTGGGGTGTGGTCGTGCTGCGGTGGGGTCCTGCTGGGTGTGGTCGTGCTGGGGTGTGGTCCTGCTGGGGTGTGGTCGTGCTGGGGTGGGGTCGTGCTTGGGTGGGGTCGTGCTGGGGTGTGGTCGTTCTGGGGTGTGGTCGTGCTGGGGTGTGGTGCTGGGGTGGGGTCGTGCTGGGGTGGGGTCGTGCTGGGGTGTGGTCGTGCTGGGGTGTGGTCGTGCTGGGGTGTGGTCGTGCTGGGGTCGTGCTGGGGTGGGGTCGTGCTGGGTGGGGTCGTGCTGGGGTGTGGTCGTGCTGGGGTGGTCCGCACCCTGTGATTTATCGATGTCGTAGGGTCGTGCGTGGTCGTGCTGGGGTGTGGTCGTGCTGGGGTGTGGTCGTGCTGGGGTGTGGTCGTGCTGGGGCGTGGTCGTGCTGGGGCGTGGTCGTGCTGGGGTGTGGTCGTGCGTGGTCGTGCTGGGGCGTGGTCGTGCTGGGGCGTGGTCGTGCTGTGGTCGTGCTGGGGTGTGGTCGTGCTGGGGCGTGGTCGTGCTGGGGCGTGGTCGTGCTGGGGTGTGGTCTGCTGGGGGTGTGGTCGTGCTGAGGTGTCCCGCACCCTGTGATTTATCGATCGGGATTTCAAAAACAAGCGTTTCGCCTGAGACATCCTCAAAATTTAATCCGCCGGCCTCCTTCGACCTCGATATTTATCAGGGAAAGAATCCGCCGGCCTCCTTCAAGTTGGGCACCGGGGACATGTTTACATAGGAAAAGAGAACCCTGGGCCTATGCCCTTTCCGGGAACAAATGTGATTTGCCGCATGTTTCAAATTCGGTGGCACCCCTCACGCACATCGGCGGGGTCAGGGTCCAAAAACACAAAGGATTTGCAACATTTCTGAAATTCGGTGGCACCCCTCACGCAGATCCGTAGGGTAAGGGTCCAAAAACAAAAGGGATTTGCCAGATGTCTGAAATTCGGCGGACTAGTACTAGTACTAGTACTACTACTAGTACTAGTACTAGTAGTAGTACTAGTACTAGTACTAGTACTAATAGTACTACTACTACTACTACTACTACTACTACTACTACTACTTCTGCTACTACTACTACTACTACTAACTACTACTATACTACTACTACTTACTACTATACTACTTACTATACTACTACAGTACTACGACGAATACTACTACTACTAGTACTACTACTACTGCTACGACTACTACTACTACTGTTGATACTACTACTACTACTACTACTACTATAATCTACTACGACTGCTACTACTACTTGACTACGCTACTACTACTATACTACTACTACTACTACTACTACTACTACTACTACTACTACTACTACTACTACTACTACTACTATTACTACTACTGCTACTACTACTACTACTACTACTACTACCACTACTACTACTACGACTACGACTAATACGACTACGACTAGGGCTGCGACGAAGACAGCGACTAAGACTACTACTACTACTGCTACTACTACTACTACTCCTACTACTACTACTACTACTACTGCTACTACTACTACTACTGCTACGACTACGACTACGACTACGACGACGACTACTACTACCACTTCTACTACTCCGGCGACTACTGCTACTACTACTCTTTCTGCTACTACTGCTAGTAGTAGTAGTAGTAGTAGTAGTAGTACTACTACTACTACGACTACTACTACTACTACTACTATTGCTACTGCTGCTACTACTACTACTACTCCTACTACTACGACTACTACTACGACTACTTCGACTACGACTACGACTAGTACTACCACCAACACCACCACCACTACTACTACTACTACTACTACTACTACTACGACTACTACTACTACTACTACGACTACTACTTCTACTACTACTACTACTACTACTACTGCTACTACTACTACTACTTCTACTACTCCTACTACGACTCCTACTACTACTGCTACTACTACTACTACGACTCTTACTACTACTACTCCTACTACTACTACTACTACTACTACGACTACTACTTCTACTACTACTACTACTGCTACTACTACTACTACTACTCCTACTACGACTCCTACTTACTACTACTATACTACTACTACTACTACTCCTACTACTACTACTACTACTACTTACTACGACTACGACTACGTACTACTAATACTTACTACGGGCTACGGCTACGGCTACGGCTACGGCTACGCTACTACTACTACTACTTACTACTACTACTACTTACTACTACTACTACCACTACTACTACTATACTACTACTACTACTACGACTACTACGACTACTACGACTACACTACTACGACTACTACGACTACTAACGACTACTTACGACTATTACTACTACTACTTACTTACTTACTACTACTACTACTACTAGTACTAGAACTAGTTACTACTACACTAGTATACTACCACATACTACTACTATACTACTACTTGCTACTACTACTACTAGTACTAGTACTACTAGTACTGTACTAGTAGTACTAGTACTAGTACTAGTACTAGTACTAGTACTACTACTACTACTACTACTACTACTGC